GCCTGGTGAGGGCTGGTCGCTCTTGCCTCGCATGCAACAGCACGGCAGCAGCGCTCCACGCCCTCGTCATTGCAGCAGCGCTCCACGCCCTCGTCATTCTTTTCGTTCAACTCAGCCCACTACCATTGCTCTCTCGTTCTGCTGACTGCCTCCGTTTACCCTTCCCCCCCACCCCTGTCCCTTGCACCTGACCGTGTCGTCCTTTATGCCCATCCACCCCCCCTGCCCATGTGGTGCACGTGTGTGTGTGTGTGTGTGTGTGTGTGTGTGTGTGCGCGCGTGCGTGCGTGCGTGCGTGTGTGTGTGTGTGTGTGTGTGTGTGTGTGTGTTGTGCGCGCCACACCAGGCGCATGGAGTTCGCACAGCTGGAGAGCAAGCAGCTAGTTCGTCAGTGGTGCTGCTATCTTAGCGTATGTGGCACGAACCTGTTGTAGTAGTTGGCGAAGCCTAGGAACTACTGCAACTCCTTGACGTAGCCTCGAACTTTCCACTTCTTGACGGCTTCGATTTTCCACGGGTCCACGTACGCCTTCGGCACTCACCATGTGCCTGAGAAATTGCACCTTCTTCAGGGCAAATACGCTTTTTGACAGCTTCACTTAGATTTTGTTTTCCCACAGGATCTCAAAGACTTTCCGCAGATGCTCCACGTGCTCCTTCATATTCTTGTAGTAGATCAAGATATCGTCCAGGTACACTGCTACGCACTTGTCAAGCAAGGGCCGTAGAATGTGGTTCATGTCCGCCAAGAACGTTGCTGGTGTGTTGCAGAGTTCGAACGGCATCACTATATATTCGTAGGAGCCATATCTGGTACGGAACGCCGTTTTGTGGATCGAGTTGTCTCCCATTTTTATCTGCCTGTAACCCAACGGTAGGTCCAGCTTCGAAAATACTGTTGCCCCACGCAGTTGATCCGAGAGATCGTCTATGCGCGGTATGGGGTACTTGGTCTTAACTGCCTGTTTGTTCAGTGCCCAATAGTCAATGCACATCCGCAAACTACCGTCTAGCTTTGGAGTGAAGTGAACTGGTGCGCCGTAGGGAGAGGTGGATGGTCGGATCAGTTTCCGGTCCAACCGGTACTCTATCTGTTTTTTCATGTCTTCTAGTTCGGTTGGGCTGAGGTGGTATGGTGCACGTGAGACTGAATTCGCACCCGGCTCTTCCATGATCTCGTGTTCGTGGGTTCGCGCTGGAGGCACTCCTGCATGAAAGTCGTCCGGCATGATGTCCTTGTATTCCTCCAACACCGTCCATACTGCTGCAGGTAGCTCTGAGTTTGGCTTCTCCTACTTTGTCGTTGCCAGCGCTAGGTAACCCTTGTTACGCTCGTTCACCGTTCGCTCGAATTGTGCAAGTGTTGCCTCTGGAATATCCCCTGTATCCGTCCAGCTTTGCAACTCCACTTGTTTCCCGTTGTTGTAGATGCTGGCTTTCCGGTTGACCCAGTCTATCTCAGGGTTGAACCGCTTCAAAAAATCTCTCCCCAAGATAAAATACAATCCTTTGATGTTCGTGATCGGCAACGTCGGCTTCCACCTCAACGCACCTATCTGCAGTTGCAGTGTTGACTCGCTGTGGATGGGAAGCTTCGTACCGTCCACCATCGTTGCTGTAAACTGGGTCTACTTCGCGGACTCCCCAATTGTCTCCAACGTCCCGTAGTCGCACACCGAATGGGACACACCACTGTCCACCAAAGCCTTGAGGCGTCGCCCTTTGCAGAGCACCTCGAGGAGTAGTGGCTACTGCTGCTCCGATTAACCGAAGATGGTCTCATTAATAGGGTCATAGGGTTCATTAAAATTATCCTTCTTATTCCCTACACCCGAATCTGCACTCTCTACTTCCAACTTCACCTGGGGGGTAGAAGGACTTTTCCGAGGCCAATACAGCTTCTCTTGGGCTTAGAACTTTCCCCTAAGCTTTTGTAGCTGTGTAGGCTTCACATGTGGGAAATGAGGAGACTTAACACTACGCTGCTGGGAGAGAATATTAACTCCTTCGAACGCTCGACCCTTTTCAACGCTCCGGAGTTGATTTCCCAACTTTTCCGTTACCGGTAGTATTTCTGAAGGTTTTCTCTTAGCCTCGAACTCTCCCTTATTCAAAACCACGAGAAGAAATATTCTTAGTTAAAGTATCTTTATAGGATAACTTTAACGAATTCTTACTCTCGGGGGTGTTCGGCTGGAGTTTCCCGGTTGATACAGAGCCTTTTTCGCAGGGTCTCACTTCATCTCTGCGATTTCCCTTGGTGCCGCCCGGTCGTGACGTTTTAAATTCGCGCCATTATTTTCTCCTTTTTTCGCCCGCTTCGAAGTCGCCACGTCGTTGCCTTTTTTCCCCTTTTGGATCTTTTCGCGATCGCCTGCTCGATCCGTGGCTACTGGCGATTCTCATTTTTTTTTCTTCAGGGGTGCCGGACTGTTCTTGCCCTGAAGTTCCGCACGTGCTTTCTTCATTTTCCAACTCGATAAAAGCTCCTCTGTTTACAGAGGAGGCAACTATCGACGAGGGTGAGCTCGGCAGACTCACTTCTCTCCTCAGGCTCATATCATTGCTTGCTAGGATTGGCTCCACTCGTGCTTGGTGCTAGGGGTTTCGCCAGCCTTGATTATAGCTCAGTGTGAAAACAAACTCGCAAGCAAGGATCCCCTACTTGCCCTACTGCTTAAGTAATTACTAGCGGTGGTTACCGTTGCCGAGCATTGGTGCTTTCGCCCAGTCCAATTCGTTCTCCCGCGTGAATATTCCCTTTTCCCCCTCACTTTGCTACAGCATCTTTTGCCTACTTCCTATTGCCATGGTTTGTATCTTAGTTATTTCTACTCTATAATCAAAAGCATGACATGTCCTGCTGTGCCGCAAAACTCGCACGTTTCGGATTTTGCCGACCGCTGCTTCGCGTCGATCTTGTCGATATCCATCGGGTCAGCGATCGTGGGAGGTGCCAATCGCTCCGTGCCGAAATTCATGTTCGGCCCGTTGCTCGTGTTGACCCTTGGTCAACGCGTCGAACCGTTCGGCTACGCAGACCATGTCACGGTAGCTACAGTAGTTCGCTGCAATCATCGTCCCCAAACTTTGTTTTTTAGTCCCGTAGTGTACGCCTGGATTTTTTCGCCTTCGGTCAGGTCGTCGATGCAACTAAAAAAGTTATCCATCTACTGCGTGTTCTGCGCTACACTGCCGAATTGTCGATGTCGACGAATCTGGTGCCGCGCTATGTACGACTAATTATTTGGCTCAGAAAGTTTTGTGAGGGCTGCCTGAAACTGTGCCCACTATCCTTCGCCTCAGATTTCGCTGCTACTGTTGATCCATTCCAATGCCGGGCCTCGTAATAGTGTAGCTGCGAGCCGAATCCGCATCAGGTCGTGTGTCGGGGTCGTGCATCCAACGGCTTCGAACTAGATTTCGAGAGTCGAAATGAATCTCCTCACATCCATCCCATTTGCGCTCGGATCTTCCTCCGGTAGCCTCGGACGAGCAGCTTCGAGATTTATTGTAGCGGGTGCTGCTGCTGCAGTATGAAATCTTGGTGTCACCGCTGCTGCTGCTGCCATCGTTGCTGCATTCAGTGCTGCGTTCGCTGCTGCTGTGGCAGCTGCCGACTGGTTCGTGAGCATCGCCTTGATTCGTTGAAGCGTTGCGCGCGTCTGGTTCTGCTTCGATTTCTTGAACGAAATTGTCGCCCTGCCTTTCCATGCCTGCTGACATCCTGTTCAGAAACCTAGTCGAGGGGGACCGAAAATTTTCGCGGAACTGTTTTTTACGTACCCGAATCGCACTTTTCGTCGTCGCACCCGCGGTTTTTTTTTTAAGTCTGGGTTTTAGCGGTTGAAGACCTTCGCGTGTAAACTCGCTCGGATTACCAAGTATGAGGATCGATGCGATCGAGTTCAGAAAATAGATTGTGAATCATGGATACAACACGAGGCTATATATAGGCACGACGCAAGGCCAGTAACCAGGATGTTACGTGAAGGTTCCACGAGTCGCAAAGCGTCCCAAATGGGTCCCTCCGAATTTGGTAGAAGCCTCTCGGAGGCAACCGAAGAGCACAGAACTCGGTGCACGCAACCTAGAATGGTGCTATAACTATAATATAATATAGTATGCAACGATTCTAAGGAGAACTAGCAAAGGCATGCATAATGAAATAAAACTAAGAATGATAATGCATGATACGGTAATTTCAAGTAGGTAAAGCCATCGTACTCTCACTCATGGCCTGCCTTTTCTCTCCGGCCCTCACGCTCTCCCTCTCCGCCCACAAACCCCCTCGCGGCAGCGGACGCGCGCCGTTGCAGCGCCTCCTTCCGCCCGTCTCTGGCGCACGACGCCGCCGCCCCGCACATCCCAGCGGGGGCAGGGCAGCCCGCGCGCATGGCACACGACCTGGAGAGGGCGGTGGCGCTGGCGGGCAAGCAGGACATGGAGAATGGGCTGGGGGGTGCACAGGGGGGGAACTTTCTGCTGGGGGAGAAGCGGGCTGGCACAGAGGGCGAGGCAAGGGAGATCCGCGTGCCCCAAAGTGAGGGCGGAGGAGAGGCGCGGTGGCTGGCGGGCGTGGGGCTGGTGGACGCAGCGGTCATGTACCTGTGGCGCATGCATGGCCAAGAATACTATGGGGGGGCGGAGCTCAAAGGGCTGCCCAAGGGACTGCGTCACGTGCGTGCAGGCGAGGGCGACGAGGGTAAGAGGGAAGACGGGTGTGGGGAGGGGTACGAGGCATGGGCGCGGCGAGTGGATGAGAAGTGGAGCGCGCGTATGGGGCCTGAGGGGGAGGAAACGGTGATGGCGCTTGTGGGGAAGGTGCACGTGGAGGCGCGCATGGGGCCGGCCATGGAGGCGATGGTGCGCAAGATCAAGGAAGACAAGTACGGGTGGAAGTACGGTTGCTCTGCGGTGGGGTACTGAAGCTGTTCCACGGGCCGGAGTTTGTGGTGAAGCACCTCAAGATGAAGCACCCCGATTTGGTGGCGGAGCAGAGCAACCGCGTGAAGGAGGAGGTGTATGAAGAGGACTACATGCGGTGAGCTGGGGCCGCGGTAAGGAAGAAGTAGATGCGGTGAGCAAGACATGTGAGTGCAGTGGAAGAGGTGCATGTGACTGTCTTGCGTTATGGGCACGGCCACTTGCCGGTGGAGAGAGAGGGAGAGAGAGAGGGAGAGGGAGCGGGGTGGGCACGGCCACTTGCCGGTGCCCATGTCGGCCCGTCTGGGTGCGCGACAGCTCTCGCCCCTCGACCCCTATGTCTTCCCCCCCGACCGCTTTGACCGCCCTGCTGGCGCCCCCCCTCCGCCCATGGGCCCTGACGCTGCGGAGCCCTTTCCGAGGGAGCCGTGGGGGGCGATATAGGCACGAGGGGGGCGCAGGGCGGTACGAGGGGGACATGTTTGACCACCGGCGGGGAAGGGGGCGGGGGGGCGAGGGGGAAATTTACGAGAGGAGGAAGGGGGAGGAGGGCCCCAAGGGGCTGGAGAGGTTTGATGGGGGCGGGGGAGGAGGGTTTATGGGGCCAGGGGGAGGCACGGGGATGTTTGAGGAGAGGGGTCCGGTCATGGAGGGACCCCCCCCCCTCTCATGCTCATGGGCGGCCCAGGAGGGCCTTTGGACGGGCCGCCCGTGTTTGACATGTTTGACGGACCGCCGCCCCCGCTGCCGCCCTTTGGGCCGCCCATGCCGCCGCACATGGGAAGAGGCCTGCCGGGGGGCCTGAGGGGACCGTTCGGTGGATCGCTGCCGCCCGTGCCCGGTGCTGCGTGAGTGGTGCTTATCCCCGTGCCCGGTGCTGGCTTAGTGGTGCGGTTGAGGGCCATACGTGTTCGTCGCCACGCACCACAACTGCCATGCGGTTCTCTCTCCGCACTTTCCTGGAGGAAAACCGTGTGGCGAAAGCAGGGCAGTTGTGGGTGGGTGGTGGGGAGGGGTGGGAGTGGTTGCGTCCAGCAAGGGGTGTTGGTTGTTGGACTGGCTGTAGCAGCAACACACTTATGCTGCAGCGTCGCCATCACCAACTTCTGCTTTCTGCTCACCTTCCTCTTCCTCTCTGTCAACTCCTCCCCTCCCCCTCCTTCCATCTCCCCTTTCCCCCCCTCCCCGCTCCCCCCACCCCTCTCCCCTCTCCCCCTGCTTTGCAGCTCGCTGGGACCATTCCTGCTGGCGGCGCCAGAGCTGGCGGCGTGCATCCTAAGAGAACCCTCCTTCCGCCCGCCGCCCTCCCTCTTTAACGCCTTTGACGGCCCACCCTCCCCCTCCAACCTTCAATGGCCCGCCCCTCCACCTGCCCCCTGACGCCTCCCTCCCTCCCAACTCCGCGCCCTGCGGGTGCTGCGCTTGGTGGAGAGGAGGGGGGCTCCCCCTTCCCCCCGCAGGGGGCGGGGGAGGGGCACGAGGGGAGGCAACACGGGGGAGCGAATGAGGGGACGGGAGGGGCCGTATGGCAGTCCGGTGAGGTTTGGGGGAATGGGCATGGGGATGCGAGGCATGGTCATGGGCATGGGCGTGATGGGCACGGGCATGGGCATGGGCATGGGGCCGATGTGAATGATGCCCATGATAGGCGGGCCGCCTCATGATCCCCGTGGCATGTGCAGGTACAGTTTCATGCACATGTATGGTGGCATGCGCAGGTATGGTGGCATGCGCAGGTAAGGTGGCATGCACAGGTATGGTGGCATGCGCAGGTACGGTGGCATGTGCAGGTACGTTGGCATGCGCAGGTACGATGTCATGCGCAGGTACGATGGCATGCGCAGGTACGGTGGCATGCACAGGTACGGTGGCATGCGCAGGTACGGTGGCATGCGTAGGTACAGTGACATGCGCAAATACAGTGGCATTTGCAGGTACGGTGGCATGCGCAGGTACCGTGGCATGCGCAGGTACCGTGGCATGCGCAAGTACGGTGGCATTCGCAGGTACGGTGGCATTCGCAGGTACGGCGGCATGCGCAGGTATTGTGGCATGCGTAGGTAGTGTGGCACGTGCAGGTAAAGTGGCATGCGCAGGTACGGTGGCATGCGCAGGTACGGTGTGATGCGCAGGTATGGTGGCATGCGCAGGTACGGCGGCATGCGCAGGTACGTTGGCATGCGCATTTACAGTGGCATGCGCGGGTACAGTGGCATGCGCAGGTACGGTGGCATGCGCAGGCATGGTGGCATGCGCAGGTATGGTGGTATGCGCAGGTATAGTGGCATGCGCAGGTATAGTGGCATGCGCAGGTACGGTGGCATGTTCGCATGCAGGTATGAAGGCGCTGGTGCATAGAAAAGTTTTGGATTTACCTGTGTGGCTGCCATTTGCAGCATGAACTATGCCATGCTGCTCACTCTGCTGACACCACCCATCTCTCTACTAGCACCACCCATCTCTCTACTGACACCACCCATGTCTCTGCTAGCACCACCCATCTCTCTGCTGACACCACCCATCTCTTTGTTGACACCACCCATCTCTGTGCTGACACCACCCATCTCTATGCTGACACCACCCATCTCTCTGCTGTCACCACCCATCTCTCTGCTGACACCACCCACGGTGTGCCTCTCCTGTCTTCCCTCCCTGTTGTCTGTAGCTATCGCGACTTGGATGCACCGGATGACAAGGTCACCGTCATCGATTACCGCAACCCCTGACCCACTCATCTGCTCATTCGCTACTTGCTTGCCCTGCTGCGTGTATGCTAGCATAGCATCAGTGTTGCTCTGTCTCTTGTAATTCATGTAAATATTTAGAGCGTCGAAACACTTGTTGAGAGATTTCTTGTTCAACAAAATATGCGAGTCAGTCACATCCATATTGTTCTTTAAGTAATGGTAGGATGGGTGAGAATTGCTTTCATAGAAGTGTTTTAGGGACTGTAGTAGGGCTTATAATAACAGGGTAAAATACCCTTTTTGCCACCTTTTTTACTAACCCTGATCCAGGCAGTCTAACTGGATTGCTACCATTTCTCAGAAAGAGTTGTTTTTTTTTTTTTACTCTTTGGAAAATAATGCACGAGTTTTTTTTCCCTAACGAGATAGTGTAGCTTTTGAGTTACACTGGTACTGGATCCGGAGAAATAAATATGCCTTCAGTAAAACTTTTGTCCATGCCAAGCTTTGAACCTGCGATCCTATCATATGGAGGGATACACTGACTAGCTGAGTCATACACTTGCGTTTTTTACCTTAAGAATCAGTCCAATGATTTTTCCACCGTGATACAGTCAGGCTACATTTTCTTTTAGCATGTATTAGTCAGTGTACCAAAACAATTACCCTAAGCTATCAGGGTGGGCCAGGCTGAAACCCTGACTAGCCAGGGTGGCCTAAAACCAATTTTGGGCCCTGGACTGTAGGCTTTTGTACCGTAGCGGAAACGTTCAGAAAGGTTGGGGATATAACACTCACAATGGAATTTGAGGACTGTGTTATAGAACCGGCATTCGGTGAGATCAATGGACTGAAAGATATTCTTTAGTGGGACCAGGCACAACTAGGATGAAGGACAACACCAGACCACGTGAATGATACAAGGTGAAAGAAGCTCGCCTTGTTACGGTGACTTACGTCCATGTGAAGGAACGCTCATTAACATGGCTCAAGGGAAAACATGTGTCAAACATTATATGTTTAAATTGTGTAGGCTATAGTGGGTTTAGCCTTAGGGGGTAAGCTTTGTTAGGGTTTCCTACTTGTATCCCCCTCCTACCTAGTTTCATCCATTCTCGTTCTATTCTAGATTCTAACATGGTATCACGAGCCTAGGTTGCTACCTAGGACCGCTTTCTACTACGGGCCCACTATTCCGCTAGAAGCGCCCTCGTGCGCCCTACCCTACGTGCGCCCTCGTGCGCCTTTCTCTGCTCGTGCGCCTTCGTGCGCCCTCGTGCGCCTTTCTCTGCTCGTGCGCCCTCGCGCGCCCCGCCCTTCGGTCTGCCCGAGTGACGTCCTGTAGCCCTCGCGCTGCCTCCTACAAGCTAGTACGGCCCTCGAGCCGCCCCTGCAGGTCCGTCAGGCCCCCGAGCCGCCTCTGCAGACCCGTCAGGCCCCCCCCCGAGCCGCCTCTGCAGGCCCGTCAGGCCCGAGAGCCGCCCCTGCAGACCCGTCAGGCCCTCGAGCCGCCCCTGCAGACCCGTCAGGCCCGAGAGCCGCCCCTGCAGACCCGTCAGGCCCGCGCGCAGCCTCTGCCCGACCGCGCGCCGCCCTTGCAGGCTCTCGCCGCCCGCCGCGTCGCCCTGCCCGCGGCGTCGCCGCCTGCCCGCGGCGTCGCCATCTGCCCGCGGCGTCGCCACCTGCCCGCCGCGTCGCCCTGCCCGCGGCGTCGTCACCTGCCCGCGGCGTAGCCCCTGCCCGCGGCGTCGTCGCCTACCCGCGACGTCGCCACCTGTCCGCGGCGTCGCCACCCGCCCGCCGCGTCGCCCTGCCCGCGGCGTCGTCACCTGCTCGCCGCGTAGCCCTGCCCGCGGCGTCGCCACCTGCCCGCCGCGTCGCCCTGCTCGCGGCGTCGTCACCTGCTCGCCGCATCGCCCTGCCCGCGGCGTCGCCACCTGCCCGCCGCGTCGCCCTGCCCGCCGCGTCGCCACCTGCCCGCCGCGTCGTCACCTGCCCGCGGCGTCGCCCCTGCTCGCCGCGTCGCCCTGACCTAATCCGCGCCTGGCCACTGGAGCAGCCGCCCCTGCAGCAGCCGCCCCTGGCTCCTGGAGCAGCAGCCCCTGCAGCAGCCGCCCCTGGCCACTGGAGTAGCCGCCACTGCAGGAGCCGCCCCTCGCCCCTGGAGCAGCCGCCCCTGCAGCAGCCGCCCCTGGCCCCTGGAGCAGCCGCTGCTGCAGCAGCCGCCCCTGGCCCCTGGAGCAGCCGCCACTGCAGCAGCCGCCCCTGGCCCCTGGAGCAGCTGCCGTCGCGGCCCGGCCCCTGCAGCAGCTGCTGCGGAGCTCCCTGCTGCGGCCCGGCCCCGCCCTGCAGTTGTAGCGGCCCCGCTGTCGCCACCGTCTTGCGCCTGCCGCGCCGACCACTGGTGAGCATTGCCCTGCCCGCACTGCTACCGCTGCTACTGCTGCTACTGCCTTTTCCACTCCCACTGCTACTGCTCCTGCTGTTACTGCTGTTACTGCCGCTACTGCTGCTACTACTGCTCCTGGCGTGGCCAGATGCAGCTCCAGGACCATGCGCGTGAGTCCCTCACGCCCCAGCAGCTTCGTGAGTGGTACGCTAGTTGGGGCTGTCGGGGTGGCCGTAGTTGTAGTCGTTCTGGAGTGGGTCGTTCGGGCGCTTCTGGTAGTGGACAGGTGCAGCTGCCGTGTCCTCTTTCGCCCCAGCAGCTCCGTGAGTGGTACGCTCATAGTAGAGGGTCACTGAGTACTGCTCGCTGCCCGTACGTCATTCGCACAGGTGTTCGGACTGGTCAGCCTTGCGGGACCCGTGGCCACACAGAGTCCCACTGCTTCGCCCGTCTGGGCGACGCTTGGCGTACAGAGTTTGGTGACGCCGCTGAGCTCCCCTCCTGGGTGGAGCTGCTTAGGCAGAGGGTAGATATCTTTGCTCTTGACTCTGATGCTATCCTCACTGCCATGTATGCATTGTCTACTAGTACTGAGAGTGCCTGTCCCCTGTGTGTACCGCCTGACCCCGGTATCCAGTCTGCTGCTCTAGGTACTGGTGTGGCTGCCGCTCTAGGTGCTAGTGCGTCTGCTGCCCTAGGTCCTCGTGAGGCTGCTGCTCTAGGTGCTGGTGAGTCTGCTGCCCCAGGTACTCGTGCGTTCGCACCTGCTGGTACTGCGTCTACTGCGGCACTGCACACCTTCACACTGGACTCCGGTGCTTCCCGCTGTTTCTTTCGTGACCGCACGGCCCTTGAGCAGCTTGCTCGGCCGGTTGCAGTCTCCCTCGCTGACCCCTCTGGGGGTCCGGTCCTTGCGACCTCCTCCACTGTCCTCCCTTGTCCTGCGGTCCCGTCGGGCATGCTGTCAGGTCTCTACCTCCCCTCGTTCTCTACGAACTTGGTGGCGGGTAATGCGCTTCAGGACGGGGGTGTTCACCAGTTCACCCCTGCCTACGAGCGCGTGACACACTGCACGTGCGCTCGGACGGGTCGCCACCTGGCTACCTTCACTCGGCAGCCGGGGTCGGACCTGTACACACTGACCACTGCGTCCCCTCAGGTAGCCGCGTCTGTGTCTGCGTAAGGTCAGCTGTCGGCCCCCTGCTCGTGTCGCTCTCTGGGGCACGAGACCGTCCTCTGGCACCACCGACTTGGTCACCCGTCCGTGCAGCGCCTTCGTGCCATGCACAAACAGTACCTTGTCTCTGGTCTTCCCAGGGTTCTCCCTCCCCTCCCACCCTCGCCTGCTCCTCCCTGTCTTCCCTGTGTCGAGGGGCGGCAGCGCGCCGCTCCTCACTCCTCCTCGTTTCCCCCGACGACTGCTCCCTTGCAGACGCTCCACATGGACGTGTGGGGCCCAGCCCGCGTCCGTGGTCAGGGTCAGGAGAGGTACTTCCTGATAGTTGTTGACGACTACTCGCGCTACACCACGGTCTTCCCCTTGCGCACCAAGGGTGAGGTCCCTGATGTTTTGATCCCTTGGATCAGCGCTTCTCGTCTCCAGCTCAGCGAGCGTTTCCACTCGGACTTTCCTGTCCTGCGCTTGCACTCTGACAGAGGTGGTGAGTTCTCCTCCGATCTCTTGGCAGCCTACTGTGCGGAGCACGGCATCCGCCAGTCGTTCACGCTTCCGGCCTCTCCACAGCAGAATGGGGTTGCTGAGCGCCGCATTGGCTTGGTCATGGAGGTCGCTCGTACCTCCTTGATCCATGCGGCTGCCCCCCACTTTCTGTGGCCGTTTGCAGTCCGATACGCTGCGCATCAGCTCAACCTCTGGCCCCGTGTCTCCGTTCCGGAGACTTTGCCGACACTGCGTTGGACGGGAGAGGTTGGCGATGCGTCACGCTTTCAGGTCTGGGGATCTCGAGCTTTTGTCCGTGATACGTCTGCGGACAAGCTCTCCTCCCGCGCTGTTCCTTGTGTCTTCCTTGGCTTTGTCCCGGACGCGTCTGGTTGGCAGTTTTACCACCCCACCTCGCGCCGTGTCTTGCCTTCTCAGGACGTCACTTTC